AAAGCCTATATTATAGGGTATGCTTTGTAAGCCAAAGTCTACCTTGTTAAGACGAATAAAATATATTAATGAGTTATAAGAGAAAGTCTTACATTGCTCTTTATTAAGACTAAATTTCCTTTGCTTCAACTTTTTTCTCCATTAAAAATGATCCAATTATCTTATGTGCATTTAGTTGGTGCTGACGATGGCTGTTAGAAGACCTGAGAATTTTTCCTTGAAAAACTTTTATTCTGCTGCAACATTAAGACATAATTATTGGTGGCACCTTAAGTTATGCAGATGTAAGATTTCCAAATCTAGACTGGCACTTGCTAAAGGAAGACGTGTCATTGTTGATAAAACCGTAATAGTTGATGATTTTGCCACTGATTTTTAAGACAAGATTAAATAGCTTTCTCCTTCTGCAAGGCTGGTTGGTCTCTTCACTGACATTCCTGCAAATGTGTATTCCTTTGTCCAGCTCCCATGCCTCTCCCACTGCCATCCCCACGCAGAGATGGCTAGATGTGTTCTTTCTCATCCTACCTCTGCCAAACTATCTCCTTCTCTGACTTAAAATCTCAGCATTTATGGTATTCGTTCTGTAATTAATCACACACAATTTTTAACTACTCTCTCAGTTTATATATGTAGATATCTCACCAATGAAATTCTGAGACTCTCAAAGGCAAAGACAATTTTTCTTCTTATATAACATACCCTATTATGATGGCACTCAAGACAGTCTTGTTGAATTTAATTTGTTGAAGAATAATAGAATCTCAAGCTTGAAGGGCATTTAAATGTCACTTAGGCCAATCATTCATCTGATGTTTGAATCACCAGACAGAAAGCCTACGCAGTGAGTTACTTTATAATAAAAGCTAAGCTACAGCACATGAGTACGTAGCACAGGCTGGCTACATCTAAAACACGGTATTAGTCCAGCCCAATTGATAATTATCCATATAATATAATCAAGATTCTACCTCCAAAGTATTTTAAAAAAACAGAATCTCTATAGCAAGTATATCCAATAACTAGTCGGAATTACATTTGATAAAAGAAGATAAGTATGATACAAATGACAAAGAATTGGGGCAATTACTTTTGTTTAGTAAGTTATCAATATGATAGCATTCATTTGAGATTAAGTTGTTAAAGTCATTCACATGAAATTAACATATACAAGATCACGCTGCCATGTCACACATCATTATTAGCTTAACTGAATATGAAGCTAAACACAGGATGGTAGAGTTAAAACCATATTCAGCCACAACCGTGTGACTGTTACAGGGCAAGGCATGCTATCATAAGCAATTGTTAAACTGGAACAATATCTCAAAGAACCGTTTGGGGCAGACAGCAGGCAGCAAGACTGTAACCCCTGAGAGAAAGGAAACACGCAGGGGACGCCCCACAATCACCTGAAGGAGGTACTTTCTTAACCAGGGGACAGGCAGCAGAATCCCAACACAGCACAGTGATCCCCTGAACAAAACAAATGAGTTCGAGAAAGTGGTGGCAGCTGGAATTTGGGGGAATTACACAGAAACACAGATGTCTATCTTGAGACTCTGGCTAAATTCTAAGCTGCGTGCAAAGTATTCATTTGCCATTGGTAATACTATTCTTCATATTACATGGCTGAATACTTTCTGGACAGCCCTTGTACACAAAGAGTTAGTAAAGTTACCCAAAGAACTATTAGTAAAGCTCTTAGAAGACTGGGAGATGTCTGAATTTCAATCACCCAGAATAAAGAAACTTGCTGAAAACCCAGGACATTCAACAGAGACCCCAGAGAAGCTATGCCTTAGGAGTGGGGCTAATAGACCTGGACAGAGCCTACTTTAGACGCCCCATAACAAGAAATCTATAGAAAAGCAACTAGAAATAAGGGAGTTTAGCAAGGTTGAAAACCACAAGATTAGCATGCAAAATTCAACTCCCACTTCTATAATACTAGCAATGAACTATCAGAAACTGACATTTTTAAAATTCCTTTTGCAACAGCATAAAAAACATGAAGTATTTAAAGATTTCATAGCCAAAGATATGAAAGATTTATATACAGAACAGTACAAAAATATGGCAACAAGAAATAAAGATCTAAATAAATGGAGAGATATCTCATTTCATAGATCAGAAGACTCAATATATTCTAGATGCCAATTTTCTCCAAACTAATCTTTGGATCAAATACAATCTCAATCAAAATCCCAACAGTGCTGGACACAGTAGACTTCTGCATGTGTGTAATGTATATATGGACACTGACAAACTGATTCAAAAATTCATACAGAAATGTGAGGAACCCAAAAACAACTTTGAAAAAGAACAAGTTGGAGGGCTAACCCTCTCTGATCTCAAGAGTTATTACAAACCTACAATAATCAAGACAGTGTGACACTGGTATAAAAATAAACAGATCAATGGAATAAAATACTGAGTTGAGAAATAAAAGTATGCATACACAGACAGAGAAAGGATAGTCATTTAAAACGTGATGAGAAAACAATTTAATTTCCACATGCAAAAAAACAGACTCAGCTTCATGTCTGAGATGATAAACAAGAACTCAAAATGGACCACAGGGTGAAGGATAATGAAGAGGCATGAGGAAACTTTTATGGTTAATAGAAATATTCACTATATTGATTATGCTTATGATTTTACAGGTGAGAATATATATCAAAATCTATTAAATATTTACGACTTTCTTGTATGTTCCCAGAAAACCTGTTATAAAAAAACAATAAACAGGGTCTGGATTGGATTGCAGTAATGCATTTAGGGTGGTGAAACATCGGGGCTGAGCTTACTTCTGGGTAATTTAGGAAAAGTTATTTGCTCTATCCTTGTAACTTTCCTCTAATTGGATATTATTTCAAAATAAAAAGGTCATGATGGAATATTCTGAACTTTATACCAGTAAGTTTGGCATTTTAGATGAAATGGACAATTTCTAGGGGGAAAAAATTATCTAGAACGACACAAGAAAATAAAAAAATACACTATGTCAAATAGTTAGTAAAAAAAATCCAATCCATAATTTAAAATTTTCCTAAACAAAGAAAACTCCCGAACAGATGTCTACCAGTAAATTCTACCAAACATTAGAAAAAAACAACATCAGTTTAATACCAAATCTTCCAGAGAACAGAAGAAATGAGAATATTCCTCAACCCACGGTATGAGGTCAGTGTAACATTGATATCAAAACCAATCAAAGGCATTAAGGAAAAAAAGAAAAATACACGATAATCTTACTCATAAATGCAGATGCAAAATCCCTAAACTAAGTATTAGCAAGCCAAATCCAACAATTTTAATAAGGATAACACATCACAACCAAGTTGGCTTTATTCCAGAAGTATAAAGTTAGTTTGATGTTTGAATAAGAAAAATCAACAGATGCAGAAAATACCTGATAGAATTCAATGTCTTCTCACAATTTAGAGAAAAAATAAAAGCAAAAAACAAACAAGTAACAACCCCCCCACACCCCCAAAATACAAACATACAAGCAAAAAACCCAGACTGCAGCAAAGCAGGGATAGAAGGCAACTTCTTTACTTAGATAAGAAAGCTATTATAAAAGTACAGAAAATCTCTAAGAATAAGGTAGGATGACTTGTTCTTGCAGATATCAAGATTTAGTCTAAAATTGCTGCAAATAAGTTTAGTATGAGCAGAAAGACAGAAACTGACCAATGTATAAAAATAGATTCCAAACAGGCCTGTTCCTAAATTGTGCTTTATTTATGACAAAGCAGGCAAGGCAGAGCAGTGAGGTTAAAAGTCCGAGTGCCAAACCGGCATCAGTGCAGGGCAAAAATCTACTAGTGCAGATAGAATGTGAAAGGCAAAGCAGTACAAGTTTCCAGGACATAGAAAAACATCTTCACGTTTTTGCAGTTGAAAAAGTTTTCTGAAACAGGATGCCAAAATGACCAATCATAAGGGAAAAGACATGATAAACCGGACAAAATTAGAACTAAGAACTTCTGTTTTTCAAAAGACAAAATTAAGAGAGGAAAGAAGCAAGCCACAAAGTAGGGAAAATATCTACCACACACGTAAGGGAGAGATGGGTGCACCCAAAGTGCACAGAGAACTCAGACAAGTCAGTACGAGAAAAGGAACTCGATAAAGGAGGAAAAAACATGGGGAAAGACCTCAACAGACAACACACAAAAGAAAAAGGCCAATGAGCCAAATGGCATGATGAAAGTACTAAATCTCATTAGTGAACAAATTAAAACCACAATGAAACACCACTGCACAATCACCAGAAAGGCCCAAGTTAAAACCACAGCTAATATACTGCTGCAGATGAAACGCAACGGTATATGATACAACCAATTTGGAAAACGGTTGGACAATGTCCAGTAGAATAAAATATTTACCTACCCTATGCCCCAGCAATTCCGCTTGGGTATACACCTCAGAGAAGTGAGTGTACTTCTCTACCAAAAGATAAGTACAAAATATACATAGCGGAGTTAGTCATAAAGCCCCAAACTGGGAATGACAGAAATGTCTATCAACAGGACAGAGTATAGGTGCGTCCACACACACAGAACCTCAGAGTTGGCACCTCCCCTCACTGCCCACCTC